GTAGCCCCAACGGTTCGACCAACCGTAGGGACAAAAAATTGTGGGTTGCCCCACTGTCAATTAGTACCACCACCTCGGATCCTTGTATATTACCGCGAAGTTTCATTGTATGGGGAGATGTCATGCCCACCACTGAATGTACCGACACCTCCACTGCATCCAAGTGCGCGTGAGATTCTGGTGTTGCCTCTTCCCCCTCGTCATCATCATCCATTAACATGATTCGCAGAGCCTTTTCGGGGCAACGGTGTCCAGGAGTGAACTTTCCGTCGCATCGAAAACATAAGCCCTTAGCCCGTTTATCMGCCAGTTCCGAGTCTGTCATCCGCCTAAACGGTTGTCTGTTACCCCCTGTTGCCGGTCTTTGGGTTCCTGTTGGTGGGGCGGCTAGTAGCCGTGACCCCCCCTCCGATCCGCCCGGGCTGACTTTTGTGTTCCCATTTTTCCGTGTTCCCGGTGCTGACTGTTTTATTTTCATCCACCATCAGAGCTAGTTGGATCGCCTGGTCTAAGTCCATTGGTTGAAGCAACCTCACGGAAGTTCGTAGCTCCGGTTTCAACCCTTTTAGGAATGTACCCTGCATAATCTTCTCAGGAATACCCCTTAGCTGTGCAGATACTGTTTCAAATTTCCCTACATACTCGCGGGCCGACCCTTCCTGTTTAATTGCCAAAAATTGTTCGTATAGGTCCCCTTCCTGAGATGACTGGAACCGAGTCAACAATCGGTTTTTTAATCCTTCCCAGTGATGAAAAGGGTGCCTATCATCACTCCATCGRTACCATGCAAGGGCTTGTCCCTCCAACCCCAACACCGCCGCTCTCAACTTCTCCCCCGTAGTAACAAATCCCTGAACGTCGAAAAAYCTTTCCATGAGATACACCCACCCATATGCATCAGTTCCATCGAAYAACGGCATCTTCAGCTTACGAAGACGGTAGTCCGTYCCGGGCACCCAACCTCGTTCCCCCGAAGTCCCTGAGCCCCTTCCATATCCGCTGCCAAACGGCCTTTCAGTCTCAGAAAAAGCAAACGTACCTGACTCCGAGAAAGGAATTTCTTGAGTGCCGATGGRCCTRTTCGGTTCCCTGGCYGTACTGCYGGTTGCATGCCAAGGCGGCAGGGGCGCACCATTCTCATCAAAAATCGGATTCGATTGCTGCATTATGGGCYGTGTGGTGCAATCGGTGAAGATTGGCAATGGCATGGCTGTTGTCGGCGGTGGTGGCGGCTTCAATGCCTGGAACTGTTGCAACATGACCTTCATCATCTCCGCATGTCTCTTCTCCGTTTCAGTACGCAACGATTCCACGGTGGTCTCCAAGTTTTCGAATCGCAACGTCGTCTCAGCGCGGAACTGTTCGACGGCAGCCTTCTGTTGGGTCAACTCGGCTTCAAGATCCTGAATCTTAGTCATGGTAGCGTGGTTAAAATCACAGGCGCAAGATCGATGCTCTGATACCAATTTGATATGAATCAATTGGCAAAATCAAGATTAGCGGCCAAAARTACCACTAATCGGATGCTTATTAAAATAAACCCTGGAATTCGAGACCCAGTAATCTCCAATGTCTACGACAAGAATCAAAATACTAGAATGAATGCCAACAATGGGGTGGCCGGTCCCTTAAATAAAGCCGTACCCTAATCCTAAAAGATATACCCTAATCCTAAAAAATAGGAAAACATATTTATCCTAATAAACTAATTAATAACTTTCCTAATCAATTAATTAAGAATAAGGAAATTGCAAACAACCCCCTCTACTTGTTTCCTGCTTCTCTTTTGCGACGCTGATATATCCGACCCCAGTGTGGGTCGGCCTGAGACGTATCAACCATCAAACATGCTATCATGTCGAAACTATACGCTATTTAGAAATTTGAATCAAAACAGTGTCAAAACTTGACTTACCTTAAAAGAACAGCTCACCAGGCTCACTTAGTTCCAATCTAGGCAAAAGCTAGAATGTCACCTAACCACATAGGTCCCTATGTTTGGAAAACTAACTAATAAGCTATTGCATAGTTGCCGGCTGATAAGCTAGTTATTAGCCGAAAACTAGTTGTTGGCCGATAAGCTAGCCAATAAACTAGTTATGATTGGTAAAAACTTGTTGATAAGCTAGATGACGATGTAAAATAACCTAAAAGAACATCTTGAAAAATTAATTGGAAATATAAGAGGCATAATCCGAAAAAAAGGTGAGAAAACCCCCTAGAGCTTATTGTAAAGCTACTCAAAGTAGCTTTTCAAAAAGCTAGTTTATGGTCAACCAATGGGGGGGTTTTCAATAAGCTCAAAAATTAAGCTAGTTTATGATTGCCAAACATGGCCTTAATGTGCTTTTAAGCACTAAAAACATGACATCATATAACGTACTTACAGCCACAAGCCCCCTTGGTTCGGGCATCAATATTAGCACCACGCTCAAGGAGTTCATCCATAACCTTTACATGACCACCCTTGGCAGCAAGATGAAGAGGGGTGACCCCATGCGATTTGGGGCCCGATGCAGCCACATTTGCATCCATTCCTTCATTAAGGAGCCTTTTCACCTGCCAAAAATAAGATGATGTACAGATCAGTTAAAAACATCTTGCATGAGCCACATTTGCTCCCATTGCTTTATTTCAGTGTGCTAAAACATGTGTGAACTTACATTAATGACTTGAATTTTGTGATACAGACGGATTCATTGTCATTCAGAAAGCTTGCAAGATCTTAGGTTTCATTCTTTTATACCATTTTCTTCCAACCCATTTTCATATCTCGTGGCATAAAGTAAACAAGATATGCGATCACATTTCTTTTGGCACAAATAAATGGGACCCATAGAATGAAGATGTTAAATTGTCAAAATATATGAACCTTTTTTCAATAAGATGCTAGCAGAAAGTGAGGTTTGCCGGATGATGGTTATCTTTCACTTTTACCAAATAAACATCATAGCTAACGTAGCAACTAGCAACTACTATCAGGTGAGAAACTAATATAACTTTAATTGATCAAGGATAAATCAATACTTTCTAATAAAGGGAACAAGACACCTAAACCAATACACCAAGTCGAAATTGCACACATTTTGTTCTCTTTTTCAAGACAAATCATCTATATGCCCCCAAACAATCATCACCAAGAAAAAAGACCGCGATTAGCTTTAATCCACGAGATTGGGGTAATTCATAAACACGTATTAATGCAAGGCTTTCATGTCGTCATTTGATAAACAGCCAACTACTTGCACGAGGTTCTAAAAGGCGTGGTGTGATGTGGCATGACGGCAAGGTCAGGCCTCAAACCTCAAGAGCCAAAACGAGCCAAAGTGCTTTTCAAAGGCATTGCTTAAGACAGCTTGTCTGTGAACCATATATGCATATGTTTTCCACTCAATGGCACCAACAATTTAAATGCATGTAAAAAGGAAAAGAAATCAAAAATAAATATGCCATTTCTTGAAATCTCTTCTGATTCAAAATCGTGGTGCAACGTGTATCCTCCCCTGTTCCGGTCATGGAATATATATATATATATATATATATGTGTGTGTGTGTGTGTGTGTGTATACCACCTATATATATAAGATCAATACATCTCTATTCCATAATCTGAGTCCACCTTTTCAGAACTTAGAACTTTATAGTTTATGTACATATTTTAGTTTCCTAGATCAAAATCTTTCTACTACAATAGCTTTTTAAATTTTATTTTTTAAGCAATAGCCTTTCAACTTTATTAATTTAATTACTGATTCTTTCTCGATAAATTTAGATACTAATACAATAACCTCTTACAAGTCAATTAGTGAATAACTGGTTTCTTGAAGTCAATTAGTAAATTAGAAAAGGAGCTATTCAAATAATGGCTCTATATTGCTACCCTAGTTAATTAAAACATAGAATAACCATCAAGAATTGTAATAATTACATTGAAAAAATGATATAGGTCTATTTACCTCTTTAAGATCCCCTCTTCGAGCACCAACATGAAGCATAGTCCAGCCTCGGTCGTCCCTGTCGTTCCCAAAGCTGATGGAGCGCCTGATGCGCCTTCGACGGCCATCCGAACCCAATAAGTAATCTTGAGTCATTCTTCCTTTGATTATCCCGATTTTCTTTTCCCTTTCGGGTATACCAAAATTAAACAGAACAGAACAGATCTTGGTGTAGAAATCAATTAAAAACGTTTGCTTCTTAAAAACAAGATAATAGTAATTGGAACTAAAAAAACCACTCGAATAGAAGGCTTGACAACTTCTTTTACATGATTTTGAGTAAACAATCAAACGAAAACGAAAAAATTAGCGGGAGGAATGATTGCCCATGTTGTAGGGTGCGAAAGGATTCAAGCCAGGACCAAACACACGGAGATTCTGAAGCTTAATCGCGAGTAAAGAAATCGATGATGATGGGAGGCAAGAGATGTTAAACATATTAGCAAATCCCAAAAAGAAAAACCTTAATTGACTGTTGTCGATCCAACACAAACCCTGGATTTATACAAAATCAGAGAAATCCCACTACGATTTGAGATGTATTCGGCGGTTTCATGTAGGAAACTTAAAGTGAATTTAGAAGGATGCGATTGAATTCGAGATAAAAACGCAAACCCTAGATTTTGCAGAGAGACTTCTTTTGCAATGGAGATAAGTTTGTGTTGGATTTGGATATTTGTCTGTGAATCTACGAGTCCTCATCTTTAGAAAAAATTACACTTGACTCCCTTTGACTATATGGTCTAATCATATATAGCCCTTCGAAAAAAAAACCAATGATTAGTAAATTTTGGTTTTGGTCCCACCACTTTATCTATTTTGACAAAATTGTCCCTAAACTTCATTTATTCCAGATTTGTCCCTAACGTTTTTACAAAAAAACCTCTTTCTTTTAGTCCCTTCTATTCACAGTCAGGGGCCGTTTACCAATTGCTTACCCGGTAAGCATTTACTGATAGGAGTTAACATTATGGTTTATTTTGATACGTAAGATTTTAGTATATCAAAACATATTGAATGCAACAATTTACTGGGTAAGCACTTACTTGGGTAAGAGTAGTCATCATCACTTACCGGATAAGACTCTCCATCATTCTCATGGTTCTTACCCGGTAAGATTTTTGGCCCTTCTCATTTTCATCCGATGAGAAAATTTATCCGGTAATCACTTACCAAATAAGTGCTTAGTAAACGGTCTTTTATTAAATTTTTCTGCTAACTCGAATTAAACGATGGTTTTTTAGTCATTTTCATTTTCTCTCTTAATTTTTTAAATATATTCTATTATATTAGTTGTCAAAACAAGCTTAAGTCACCATGTAGGAAATAATCATTTCCCTTGTAAATTTGCGGAAGCTTTTAGGTCTCGTGTCAAAAACGTTGCAAAAGTCCTTCTCGGGATCTAGCTCTTTGAAACATGCATTATTACTTTTATCCCCCCCCCCCTCCTTTCACTTACTTCCCTACTGTGACATCAGAATTCTCTATGGTTTCTACTCCATTTCCGATAGCACCACGATTTCTACAGATGACGCCAATCAAAGCTACCCGTAAATCACTAACATACAAAAAGCCTTTCAAAATCTGATTTCAAAAACCCAAGTGCAGTACCCCCCGACTTCATATCATTCAAAGACCAACGATGGATTAAGAAAATTCAATGACTGGGGGCAAATTGACCACGACAATAACAAATCATTACAAATAAGAAGCAAATTACATTCTATAACTGTTCTTTACGGGTTTCCATTTTAAAGATAAGAAGCAAATTACATTTAAAGTTGAAAAGTATTTTATGTCCACATCATTTATCTCACAGCACCGTGTGTTAGATTAGAGAGAATTATTTCTTAGACCAATAATTTTGAATGATTGGGACAAGCAACGAGAGAAAAGCAAAAAGAATATTTCTTTTCCTTAAGATCAAGATTTTTGACTGGGGTCCTTCGCCACCACCCTTGTAAAGGTATTTCGCCCCTAGACTTACACCTACTAAACACATTTCCAAAGTCCAATAACTTGCAAATATCGAGGCGGTACTGTCATTCAAATGCACAAATTTTGAGAGATCAATCTCCACCAAATTAATTAATATAGTTCAAAGTCAAATATAACAAACACATGTGTAAGTAAATCAGACCTGGGAAGATCGATGGATTTCAAAGATTTTCCGTTCGAATTCTATATGTATGACAAAAAAAACTATCAAGCACTCGAGGGCATTACAGTGTGGAGATCAAAGTGGCGACTGGTGTGTTAATTTGCTACCTTTTTTGCCCTCTGTCTAATCGTCCCTCACCGCCAATCACTACCTTCGACCTCCATTTATACCCTAGAGAATATATATAACAAAGGCATCGACTGGAATTGGGATTGAAAATGTCGATGTCCCTCATGATGAACATAAAAAAAGCTGAAGTAGAGGATGATTTGTTGGAAATGAAACATGATGTAGATATGTGCCTTTATTTATCTGCCACATTTGAATTCACAACCAAATGTGTCAGAATTTTAGCAACTCCAATTGATTAGGCGTATTCTGCACTATTCTTAACAATAGTTTTGGATCTATATGCTCATTATACTAAACTTGATAATACGGCTAATGATACACGATCCCAATAGGTCACACACATACAAGCAAATTAACCTCAATCATACGATCAAATGTGATACTGTTATTTTCAATCCAAACAATTGTCGTGCAAATTATTATTTAATCGAAATAATAATTTTTGATAATAATAAAATATATGTTATATATATTTTGACTAGTGTTTAAGTCTAATATGTATTTGATACATATTATTATTATTTTCACTGTTTTAAATGTACACTTAAGTTGTTATGTGTGACATTAATTATATAAGTTTTATATTTTAATATAAAATTTATACGAAATAACTAATAAAAATATGTTTGGTTTTAGGTTGTTTATTAGTTGATCTCTAAGTGCATTGGTTGCTTCCAAGTACACTGCAAATGACATTTAAAATATTAAATGAAAGAGGACAAAATATGAGATGTAACAAGTATGTTGGGAGACGTGGCCTCCCACTCTTTCTTCTTTTCTTCCTTTTGAATCTATCATATATATGCATGTGTAGTGGTTCAATAAAAAAAAGGTAATACATATTCTCATACTATCCTAACTTTTTCTAAGTTTTCTCTCTAAAATTCAGTGTTAGAGAGTTTTGAGAAATAGTTTTTTGAGAGAAAAAGTGAGGAAATACATATTTGGTTTTTATTTCTAAGGTAGAGATAAAAAACTCTCGTTCAGGTTGCAATGAACTAGCATTCAAAAAAAGGTTGCTTGGTTGTGTTTTTCGTTTTCTAAGTTCTTTAATGCATGAGATCCTTGTTGGGAGTTTTTGTAAAAATTGTTGTAGATTTAATTGTATGCTTCCGTTGCTATCTTTGATGATACTGTTTTAAAGTTTCTTATAAATCCCATTAAATAGGTCTCGGAGACTTTTTGGTTCTCATGCCAACGGTAACGATCTTGAATGAAATGTTGATGGTTCACATGGAAGTGTTGGTAAAGCGCCTTAGTGGTGGGGGATGGGAAGGTAAGACGACACGTGTTGGTGAAGTTGGGAAGGAGTGGCCCTCTCGTCCCCCCTCTCTCTCTAGAGAGAAGTGATCAAATAAAAATCACTCTCATTTATACAAACTGTACAAACCATTTTCATACGTCGATTTCATTGTTTAATCTTATGAAAGTTTTTCATGAAATTGTTTAATCTTGTGAAATTGTTTCATATAATATTTTTTTGATGAATTTGTTTCATATATGGTTATGAAATTGTTTTATATAATATTTAATGAAATTTTAATGAAACTGTTTCATGTATTTCTCTAAAATTAAAATAATAAAGATGATAATATCTATGATTAACACCATCCACATTAAAAATGGTTAATCAACCTCTCATAATTACAAAAAAATGAACAAAATAAAAAATTATGATTGGTTGAATGAGGTTTTCACGGTTTGTACAAATTGAGTGGTTTTTATTTGAAAGTAAACTGATTAGTTTGTGATAATCGTGAGATCAATCCCAACCACAAATCAATAGATAAATTAAGAAATTTATAATATTGATAATTTTGAAATTTTAATGCAGTGACATTTTAAGTGTTTTCTCTCCTCTCTCCTTTATTCTCTCTCCGTCTCCCGTCCTCCGATGATACCTAAAAATATTGACTCTGTTAAACAAAAGACACAGTGTGATACCCAAGCACATATAAGATGCATTGTGATACCACTGTGGTATCACCGGAGGACAGAGAGAGAAGATAGGAGAAAGGAAAGAGAAGAGTATTAAAACACCTAAAATGTCCTTGTATTAAAATTTTAATTCAAAATTACCAAAATTATAAATTCCTTAATTTATCTATTGATTTGTGGTTGAGATTGGATCTCACGGTTACCATAAACTAATTAGTTTTCATTTGATTAGGTCTATAATATATATATATATATATATATATATTATTTTAATAAAATATCTTTTTTCTAACTTTTACAATAGAAAATTAATTAAATGGGTAATATAATCAAACTACCTTTTATGTTTTAGTGAAGTTAACACAAAAATTAACGATCGTTAGTGAAAGAGACTGAAACCAATAGATTTTATAAATGTCAAGAACAAATTTATGAACGGTTTTTGTCAAAACGGACAAAATTATGGGACCAAAATCAAATTTTACTCAACTTTGTTAAATTAAAATATAACTTGATAAAAGTTTATATTTAAAAAAGAATGAATTACAAACTTCACTACGGTTTATATTTCTTATGAATATAATCCCTTTATTATAAAAGAAATTCTTACTCTTTGCATTTTGCTTTTGGATTTCATCCTCGAGGCTAACGACGGTCGTTAGCTAGTCATTTACATTTTCATCCAAGTTTTTTGAGTAATCGTCCTTTGTCGATCGTTTTCTAAGTTGGAAAATTTGTGAGGGTTGTGATTGTCATGACTGACTTTTTATCCAATTGGTTCCCGTTTACAAAACACATTCACATGTGAATCTCTATATGAAGTTGTGTAATGATAATTCCAAAACCGGATATAACAATGTATCATCAAATTTAAGAGAGCGAAGTTGTTTTTGTAGTGTAATTTATCTAATCTCAATTTTGATTATAATTTAATTTTTTAGATTTAAAAAGATTTGGATAATCTATTATCTATACTATATTATAAAGCATTTGACAGAAACTTATAAAAATCATTTTTTATGCATAAAGTACTGTTTATTAATGCTTGTTACTTAAAACTAAAGATTACAAGTAGATTGTGCGTAAGTACAACTTATTAAAGCTCCATCTTTGAATTCGTGTAACTAACTGCAGATAAACAT